GGCAACGGCACCTGCAGCGCGGACCTGTTCGACACGACCCGCACCGAGCGATGCGGCGCCTGGGTCTACGAGCCGGGCCAGCGCAGCACCATCCTGGACGAGGTGCGCGGGTCTCGGGAGGGGCACGCCGACGTCGTCGTGGTGACCTCGCGGACGACGACGACGTGTCAGGGCGTTGAAACGGCCGCTCGTGGCACCGCCGGCCCTCTCCTCTGTGACTGCCCCATGACACCCTGACACCTTCTGCGCAGTGGGACCTGACCTGCGACGACAACAAGTGGAAGCTCACCCTGGTCGGCACAATCGGCTACATCGGCGCGTTCCTCGGCATGCCCCTGGCGGGCTTCGTATCGGACAGGTAAAGTCCCCGCCGCGTAGGCGGGAGATTCGAAACTGTTTCGCGCTTGGGTTCCTGCTGCTCAGCAACCTCGTGGGGAACGGCAATGATTTCCCGGTGAGCCGTGTGCGCAGGTTCGGCCGGAAGACGCTGCTGGTCTGGTCGTGGGCCCTGGCGTCCCTGTCCGGACTCGTCCAGTCCTTCTCGGGCAACTTCGTCATGTTCCTGTGCTTCGAGTTCCTCGACTCGTTCTGCGAGGCCGGCGTCTACGGCGCGGGCTTCCTCCTAGGTAAGGAGCCTTCGGCCCCCCTCTCCGACCCCACTTCCGTTCCCTCCCGGACGCAGACGCTGATATTGTAAACGCCCTGATCCCGCGGCCGCGAGCAGCCCTGGAGTTCGTCGGGCCGCGTCAGCGGGTGCTCACCACCACCGTGCTCAGCCTGTTCTACTCCAGCGGCAACGCCATCCTGGGCGCGCTGGCCTGGGCCGTGTGGGACTGGCGCTGGCTGCTCCGGGCCGTGTACGGCGGGGGCCTCCTCTTCGCCTTCCCGCTCTGGTGAGTGTCCCCCTCCTCCTCCTCGGGAGCCCCCTTCCCGGCACCGCCTGGTGGTCTGCCGCGAGGCCGTACTGAACTAAAGCGACTCCCTTACCTCCTGACGGGCACTTCACTCAGAACGTCAGTATGCACCTTTAAAAAAAAAAAAAAAAAAAA